GCATCGCTTCTAGTAACAAGTGCCTTACTAGTAGTAACAAGAAGCTACTAGGGGATTCTGGCATCGCTACGAACGGAGCGATCGGACGCTACGTTCGGGGCTCCTGGCCGTACTACTAGGAACAAGGTTCGCTACTAGGGGCTCCTGGCATCGCTACGAACGGAGCGATCGGACGCTACGTTCGGGGCTCCTGATGTCTTCGTTCTGTTCCTTTCTTTCATGCCTTCCCTTCCTTTCTTTTTTCCTTTTGTTTTTCTTCTTTTTTGGTTCAATCATTTTTTTTGTGTTTCTTATTCTGCTCGTGTTCCATTAGACATTTTAGACCTTTCTCTTCTCTCTGCTTTCTTCCAACCATCTTGTCACTAATGCGGTTTCCTTTTGAATTATCTACTATTTTTTCTTTCGAAAGCGTAACGCATCCCGTTCTTGGAATGAACACTTTTTCAGAGCTTGACGAAGCACAAATGATACCAGGAAATTTGCGCGCCCGACACTAGGCAACAAAACTGCAGACTAAAAGCATCTCGAAACACTTAGAGGCCTGGTGCTCGCTGCATTCATTGAGACAGAATTCTTGGCATGTCTTCTAGAAATCCTCTTATCAGCAATTTGACTCGAACCAAATTCTGTCAACGAGGGGCCAAACGTGCTTCACAACTCACCCAAACTTGAAGTCTTGTGCTTCAGGCGAGCCGAAGACATTCTCCAGCCATGTCTGGAGATCATTGAAGAGTGCACCGAGACTCCCTGTCTCTCTCGAAGTCTTTGTCGGAACTGGTCCTTTCCGAAACCTCGGAGGACTCTTGCGGAGTTTGGGTCGAAGGCATTTCTTCGCTTTCGGAGATTCCCTCGGATTGCTCCAGGAATTTGATGACTTCACACCAAAGGGCCTGCTCCACCGTCTGGTTCACATACTCAAAGGATTGATGCTCCTTTTGGATGTGCTCTTTGATTGCATCAGCATCTGCTTGAACTGAAGCTTTGGCCTTGCAGAAACTAACGACAAACATCCAAGAACCACTTGAGCCTGTATGAAACTTAAGGAGTCCAGCCAGGGATCTTTGGATATGTGCTATGATTCCCGAGGGGGTATGATCCCGCCTCTGTATTACTACCGCACGTTTGGTGTATGCGCAGCTCTTTCCCACGAGAGTTCGTGTGAACTCCATGGGCCTGTCGACCGTCTCTCCCTGGCCTGCTGGGCATCCACTCGACATTCCTGGGTCAACTCCTGCGGCCACGACGACCCACTGCGACGATGTCTTCCCGTCCTTCACTCGAAAACCATGTCCTCCCCCACGCTACGTTTGGGGCTCCTGGCCTTACTACCAGTAACAAGAAGCTACTAGGAACAAGTGCATCCCTACTAGGAGCAAGTGCCTTACTAGTAGGAACAAGAAGCTACTAGAAACAAGTGCATCCCTACTAGGAGCAAGTGCCTTACTACTAACTAGTAGGAACAAGAAGCTACTAGAAACAAGTGCATCGCTACTAGGAGCAAGTGCCTTACTAGTAGGAACAAGAAGCTACAAGAAACAAGTGCATCGCTACTAGAAGCTAGTGCCTTACTAGTAGGAACAAGAAGCTACTAGAAACAAGTGCATCCCTACTAGGAGCAAGTGCCTTACTAGTAGGAACAAGAAGCTACTAGAAACAAGTGCATCCCTACTAGGAGCAAGTGCCTTACTAGTAGGAACAAGAAGCTACTAGAAACAAGTGCATCGCTACTAGGAGCAAGTGCCTTACTAGTAGGAACAAGAAGCTACTAGAAACAAGTGCATCGCTACTAGAAGCAAGTGCCTTACTAGTAGGAACAAGAAGCTACTAGAAACAAGTGCATCGCTACTAGAAGCAAGTGCCTTACTAGTAGGAACAAGAAGCTACTAGAAACAAGTGCATCGCTACTAGAAGCAAGTGCGTTACTAGTAGGAACAAGAAGCTACTAGAAACAAGTGCATCGCTACTAGAAGCAAGTGCCTTACTAGTAGGAACAAGAAGCTACTAGAAACAAGTGCATCGCTACTAGAAGCTAGTAGAAACAAGAGTAGTAAGCTTTCCTCCCCCGTTTGCAGGTCGGAAAGAGGATGGAACGTCGACCGTCCAGTCCACGGCCCGGGCACGACTGACCAGTCCAGCTCAAGTCGAGAAGTGCACTTGTTACTAGTAGCGTGGCACTTGTTACTAGAAGCGATGCACTTGTTACTAATAGCAAACATTGTTACTACTAGTAAGGCACCTGTTACTAGTAGCGTGGCACTTGTTACTAGAAGCGATGCACTTGTTACTAATAGCAAACATTGTTACTACTAGTAAGGACCACACCCCCTACCGTTGAACCCATCGGATCGAAGGATCGGACGAATCTCATCCCGTCCAGCGTCCTTCAAAGACTCAATGGCGCCCACCTCCAGGTGGTTGGAATGCTCCTCAAGACACGCAGTGTGCTACGAACATGTCGCCTCTTTTATGTGTGCTGTGGAAGAATGAACAACAAACTAGTAGATTCCCTTGCTAGTAGTTACAATTCTAATTCTTATTGTTACTAGTAGTAAGGCACTTGTTTCTAATAGCGTCCTTGTTACTACTAGTAAGGCACTTGTTACTAGTAGCGATGCACTTGTTACGTCAGAAGTCGTCAGAAGGTCGGAAGAAACTACTTGAAGATCAAGTCCGACGGAAAGACATCGAGGCGACCAGCGGCCCCCGGCCTCTGACAAGCAACAAACACCTCAAAAATGCACCAAATTCTCGAAGTATATTGGCTTCCCCTCATCTGATCCAAGCACATGAGCATCTTGCCAATACCCTCCAGCTGCTGGCCAAAGACGTGGAAAAGTTTGTCTGGTGCTTCTTCCTGACCCTCTTCCAACATCCTGAACTGGTTGTTCACAAAAACGCACCACCACACGTAGGTTCCCTTTCCATTGGCCTCTGCCGCACCTGACACGATGCGGTGCCTTTGCCACCATCGCGCCAAAGCCTGCGCGATCGGATCGGCGACGAGGACGGCACCGAACCGACCGACCGACCTTTTGACCGACTTTTCAGACTTTTGGTTGCTAGTAGTAACAAGAAGTGCATCGCTAGTAGTAACAAGTGCCTTACTACTAGTAACAAGAAGCTACTAGGAACAAGTGCCACGCTACTAGTAACAAGTGCCTTGAACATCACATGTTTTGTCATTATTTTTTGGGTTGGGGGCGAAAGGAACGAAAGGAACATCGTGAAATCTGGGCGCTCGTTCACAGTCGTTCCTGGTGTCAAATCAGATCCCTCCCACGAGTCGGAGTAAACAAGATGCCTTGACCACGGTGGTGAATCTGTAGCCCCAGACCCAAGAAAGGAACCATGTTGCCCTGGCACTATTGGATTCAATTTCCAATGCATCCACAATGCTGCAATCTGGGCGACCATCACGTGGGCAGCATAGGCCTTTACCCAAAGCCCATGGGCCATATGCTAAGACTCCTGCCACTTGATGGAAATTGGGATCTTCTGAGTGATCACAAATCGGAAGATTGTGCCAGGCATGATGGGGATCCACCGGAAGCTTGCAGTTGCGGACCTTGACCAAGAAGCCACTCTTGGTCACGGGACCCCACTCGTCCATTCGCCATTCCACCTGCTGTGCTTTCTCCTCATAGACCGTCTCCAGCTTCTCAAAGACGTACTGCAAAGAGATGCCAAGCTGCAAAGAACGTGACTTCACATCGGCCTTGCGAGCTGCAAGCACCTTGCAAGCTTTACTCTGCCACAAGCCATATTCCAGCGGCTTAGCCTGCGTGCTATGCAGCTCCTGCCACTTTTTGGCCGCAGCCAGTTTGTTGAGTCGCCGTTTGAGGCATTCAAGGCGCAACCTTCCAAAGATGGCTAAGATGAAGAGAGACAAGAGAATGAACGCAATGACAAAGAGCATGGTGTAGAGTGGCGTACACCAATTCTCTTCGCCCAAGATCATCGATGGAAAGGCACAGGTCTGGCAAACTTCATCTCCCTCAAGTGCATAAGTCTGACCCATGCACTCGTTGCAATCGCTCTTCAGCTTGTTTGGAACAGTGCCTGCGGGGCACAAGCTGCATTCCTTGGAGCGGGGCCTCAGCAGGGAGAAACGGCTGACACACGTCTCCCTGGAAGTGGACCATGGTCTCTTGGAACAACTCATTATACTGTATCATACACTTTTCCAACACCAAAAAACAATAACATTATACTTTCACTTTCATATACATTGTTCCTCATTTTTTCCAAAAAAAGAACAGGTGGTGTTCCGCTTCCATGTTGCCCATGTCTGACCTTCCAACCTCCCGGTCCCGAGCCCCGCCTGGCAAAGGCTCCGGCCTCACAGGCCACGCAGGCGCTGCGCTCGCCGTCGGGCGCCGTTCCCGCCGGGCAGGGCGTGCAGGTGGCCGCGCCGGTGAGCGCCACGTCGCCGGCGGCGCAAGGGACACAGGTTTCCGGGACGTCGGGTGATGGGACGGTGCCTGAAGAACAGGGAAGACAATGGGTGCCATTCACTGGAACTTGCCCAGCTGGGCAAAGAGAACACTCCTCATTGCCGGAGGAATTCTTGAATCTTCCAGCTTGGCAGGGTGCACACAGTTGCCACTGTTGGTACTTCTCGGACCTTTCCACGCCAAGTGCGTGCCTGTCCAAGCGCTGTCCTGGCGGGCACAGTCCCTGTTCGCAACCAGGTCCAAAAAATGGCTCTGCGCACGTGCAGCGGCCAGTGCCCCTGGCAGAAGCCACTTTGAAACCCGTCATGTTCAAGTCAGCGTTCTTCATCCGTGCATCTTCATCGTCCTCGCACTGTCCTGCAGGCCGAAGGAAGGAGAAGGATGCCGAAGGTAGTGACACACTTCGAACTTGGGTTTTCAGCTAGACTCAATTGCCACGTTGGGAAGGAAGGTGAGGGAACGGAAAGGTGCATGGGTCCGATCACTTGAATAGTTTAACATTGTTGTCACAAGGCGGCAGCAATCAAACCGGCGGCGCAGCTGCTGGGGAAGAGCAGGTTTGTGGGAAGTATCATGAACAACCATGGAAGCAAACAAGAGAAATTGGAAAAGCGTGGACAACGGTTCAAAAAAGTCGCAGGTACGCCAGACTGATCAGGTCTGGTATCACGACGTCATGGATGAGTCTTCGTTGGCTCGTGCCATCCATGCGTCCACGAGCCCCCTGCTGGAAAACCGTTCGAGCGGTAGGAACCCTTGCCAAGCGTCAGTGGGAGGAGTGAAACATGCCGTGGTTGTAGTGGAAAGGCAAGAACGTGGAAAACCCTTAGAACCAGGGTGCGACACACACACACACACAAGAAACTCGTGTTTTAGACGGCGCCAAAGAGACCCAAGATGACCCACCTAAAAAGAGATCTCAGGATCAAATGGAAAGAATCACAAGCAAACGCCAGCAATCTCTCATCCGAACAACTCTCCATGATCGAACCTGCCTCGACGGCTGCAAGTACCTGCCAACGAATTGTGACCAGGACATGCTCTGCAAGAACCACTCACATCGAAATGGAACATCCCACAAAGGCTGCAGTCTTCTCCTTCTTCCCCTGTGGAGCATCTGCATTTGGAGCTTTGCTGATCACAGAAACCCGAACGGCAATAGGAGGACAAAGGCTTGCACACACCCCGCTGGAAGAATTGCACCCGATCGGTTCCCGTCAAAATCAAGTCCATCGAACCATCATTGTCCCAATCCACGAATCGAGGATGAACAGGGCGATTCTCATTGACATGGATGGACAAATCATCGAAAGGTGTCTCCGTCATGTGCCTCCATGTGCCATTTTGCTGCACATAGTACAGCAGCTTACCTCAGAACGCAAAAAAGAGAACACCCGAGATGAGAGAACACGAGAGAACCACAAAAAGAATGAACTCAAACGGGCCAAACGCGTGCCTGGGTCTGTGCTCATACTCTGCCGAGCCACTAGCGGTCAAACCAGTTGTTCCCATCACCAATTCCAAAGTTCCATCTTGGTCAAGGTCAACCAAAGAGGGACACATGGAATTGATGTCCAAGAAATCGATCTCATGGAAGGGGTTGGCAGAACCAGTGAGTTCCTGGAAACTCGCATTGGCTGTATTTTGATAGAAACGTATCTGGGGAGCCAATTGCTTCACCATCCAAGCCTTGATCTCAGCGGCACTGACCCCATCTCGCTTCATGTCCTGGGCAACCTTCAGGACTTGTTGGACAAGGAACAGTTGCTCAAACAATGTTCTGCCCAGATAGGAATGCACCAAGTCCTTGTAACCATCCTGATCCCAATCCACAAACGTCCAGCATGAGAGGTAAGTGTCGTGGATCCCACGAAAAGGATGATCTGGATCAGCAGGATCTAGGTAGGTGAAGTGCCCCCCGTCATTCCTGGTATAGTGTAACTCCCCATGAACGATGTCCAAATCGCCATCGCCATCAACATCCACAAGCAAATTCTTGGCATTGGAGTGCGTCAGCGCCCTGTCGTAGCCAACCTTCTCGAAGGGATTCGCTGGACCCAGCTGTTCCAACAATCCACTCTCTTCATGCCTGAAATACAGCAGTGGAAAAGTTGAGGTCTTTCACCCAAACATGTATGAAGCCCAACAGCAAAAGGAACCTACGTACGAGCGATGGCCTCCAACCTACTAGTGATGGCCTCCAACCTAATAGCATTGTCTTCATGCCTGAAATACTTGTATGGCTGATGGTCTTTCAAGACATTGATCGACTGTGGGGGGAAAACCACATCCATCTTGCCATCACCGTTCACATCCACCAGTGTCACATCCGTCTCTTGGAACAATCCGAGCTGAGCAAACGGATTTTCTTGTCCCACCACTTCGACAAAGTCCTCCTTCGGGCGATTGGACCAAAGATTCACCTTGTAGCGACCGACAAGTAGTAGATCTGTCTCACCATCTCCATCCCAGTCTGCCAGAGCAGCGTACCGTTCTGCATCTCCTGTGGTCGAGCCCACAGTGCCTCCGCTCATTCGCTGGCAAACTGCATCGAAGGGGTTGTCGGTACCAAACAGTTGTTCAAGACTTCCATCCTCCCGGCGCTCGAAGTACAAACAGTTTTCCGAGTTGGGTGGGAGAATCATCATGTCAATGTCACCATCTCCATCAAAATCTTCAGCTGAAAAGGCACGGGCTGTGGGAAGAGGGAGAGCGTGGGCAGTGAACGTGCCATTGGCATGCTGTTCATATAAGTATACCTGGAGTGTTCTGTCAAATCGTTGTCTCCAAAGCCAGCGTTGCTCTACTCATATCAGTACAGCTGCTGTTTCTAAAGAGACCTAGCTTCTGAGTCTTCAATCTCGAATTAGTGGATGCACTGTCCAAGTGATGCAACGATTCCGAAAATGCTCTATGTCAACAGGACAACACTTCTGTGTACAGTATAAGCAGTTACGATCATTGGTTGACCAATCCCCAGCCTTCTTGGTCGTTGTGATCCTGAGCATGTCCATGTCACTGTCGGCATCCCAATCCAAGAAGGACGGGTAACCTAGAAAGGAGAAGTAACCGTAGTAATTGTCTCCATCCCATGTACATTTCACCTCATCATAGCAACGGTGTTTTCGGGAGTAGAACGGGTTATCCTCCTGCTGCACCATCTCAAAGCCGGAAGATGTCTGAACGCAAACGACCACACCGACACCACGTTGGAATCCCAGGAGGTCCTTCTTTCCATCTCCATCAAAATCCACAAAGCTGAAGTGTCTGCTCCAATCAATGGGACAAGAGGTGTTGGGCGGTCCAGTCAACTCCTTTACCGTGTTGTCTGGCAAATGCTCAAAGTATCGATCTTCTCCAGAGTACGCATAATGAAGAAAAGCCAGGTCAAGGTCTCCATCCAAATCCCAATCAGCCAACACGGGGTAGTAGTAGCCTGTCACCCCCCCAAAGACCGACGTGTCCACTTGGATCATGTCCAATGGAGAACCGGCCGAAGACTTCGCATCTTCAGGTTTCACAAGGCCTTTGGAAGTGCGTTCGTAGACATGCAAGGGTCCTTGGAACGACCCAAAGACAGCGTCTTGATCACCATCCTGGTCAATGTCCACAAAGGATGCACCAGAACCATCAAATGACCTGCAGTTCGGGTTCCGGAAGAACTCTTCATCCTTCCACGACAAGGTCATCTTGCCATCCATCTTCTTCTGCTCATACAAAAATATGGGGCACCCGACCTTGTTGTTCATTGGATCACCTTGCACTTGCGTCCACTTGTGAAACAGCTTGACCATCAAGATCACATCCATGTATCCATCTCCATTCCAATCGGTCATGATTGCCCTGTGAGTGATGGTTTGATTTGCAATGGCATGAAATGGATTCCTTTCTCCTTCTAGAAGCACAAGCTGGGTTCCGGATCGTTCAAAATAACTCACTGGCCTCTCATAACCGGAGACCAACAAATCTAAGTCACCATCACCATCCCAATCTTCAATGGAGAGATCCGAGCAGGCACCGTGCTTCGTGTAGATGTGCTCAAAGGGGTTCTCTCCTCCGCTTCGCCTCTGGAGTTGCCCGTCCCCATCTTTCTGATAGTACCTGATACCATCCTGCCGCTTGTGGCCCAGAAAAGGTCACAATTAACCAAAGGACTTCATTGGTACAGAATCGGGTTTTTGCCAACTTTCATGCTCTTTTCACCACACCTCCACACGCCATGCAGTAACAACAGCCGCGACTTCCTATTTCCGACTCTTAAGGTATGTCCCCTCTCCAGTGGGCCCCACAAGAGTCAAACGAGCAAAAGAACCACAGTCACCACCGGCGCGTTCGGACGCAAAGGACGTAACGGAGCGAGAACCGGACACTCGGCACTCAGCGACGCGCACAGCTGCAACGAGACAGAACGGCAAAGAAAACGTAGCTCCAACGGCAACACCCTGGACTGCGCCCAGCAGCACATGACAACCCCTGAGGTTCGTCAAAGACAGATGGTCAAAAGACCCGACCTGAGACTGAGGGACTGAGTGAGATAGACTGAGTGATTTATCGTTTCCGTTTTCAGGTGCGCCTCGGCTCCCACAATCAAGTCCAAACGTCCATCACCATCCCAGTCTGCAACCGCTGGTCGACAACTTCCGCCTGGAATGCCTTTGAAGGGACTCGGCTCCATTTGCACGAAATGGTTTTCGGCTTTGAACTCAAAGAACAACAGCTCATCCATGGTCTTCAGGATCACGTCCCAATCACCATCCTTGTCCCAATCCACCACGATGGGCTCCGCATTGTTGCCAACGTTACTCTTGATCTCTGTGAAGGGCAAAAAGGGATTCACCGCCGTGGTCTCTCGGACCAACTGCCGCGACTGCCCACGGCAACCATGACGCTTGCTGGTCTCGCACCACCAGCCGTAGGCCAATGGCAGCAGAAAAGCCAAACACTTCATGGTGTGCTCAGTCTTGATGCTGAAAACGGCTTTCACACACAAGCAAAGGAGAACCCTACACGCTTGTAGCATTCTCTTGAGATCCGTGCAAGTCACCTGGCCAACCCCCGACTCAGTCTCCGGTCCAACCAGAACCGCGCTCGGTCCGTCGAACTGCGACGAAGCCACGGTCACCTGCGTCACGGAGCGGAGCGTCCTAGCGTGACTCACCTGAAGCGAACCAGTGGCGAGCCCCAAACTGGAGATACGAAGGGGGGGGTTCCATTGAAGCGTCGGCGAACCGGTTTGAGCTTGTGGCCATTACTAGTAACAAGAAGCAAGTAGTAACAGGTGCATCGCTAGCAGTAACAAGTGCCTTACTAGTAGTAACAAGAAGCTTGGTGAACCCAGGGTTTCAGCCCTCTTGAACCAAATTGGTAGCGAAGGAATTGGACCCAGGTGGTCTTGCACCATAGAACGAACTGAACAAACACGAACTGCTCAAAAATAGGCTGATTCAAAATGAGTATTGTGATCTGAGAATGGAGTTTTACTACATACTGAACCCAAAAAATGAGAGCCATCGACTTTTAAAAGCTCCATTCTCCGACACGGTCTCGCATCGAGATTCACGTGGACCGGGCCGAACGCCGAACGCGGCCCAGCCAGAGTCCCCGAACGAGGACGAGGACGAGGCCGAAACAAACATCAGAATCGTTCGCTGCGGTCCGATCGCCTTCCCTTCATCGCGAAGGCTTACGGCTTATGAAGAGCGGATTGGCCTCCACCACCAGACGCGTCCCTACTCCTCGTCGAGTCTAACCTGCTTCGTCTAACCTGCGCGTCGCAACCGTGAGACGACGCGTCCGACTTGCGGAACTGGAGAAGGTCCCGGGAACGACCGGTGCGTACACGGCTCCGCCGGTCGTACGTCTCGTGCTGGTCCGGAACTGGACCTGTCCCGCACTTCCGGTCTGTCATAGCAGTGCGGGATAGGCGCCTTTCCTTCATACTAAGAAAGCTTTACTGTTAATAGCGATGGCCTCGAACCTACTTGCCATGGCCTCCACCTGATAGCGTCCTTGCTAAGTGCTCATTGCCTGGTCAACCAGTGATGCCTGGTCGCGACCTGCGCCGCTTCATGTCGCTTGCGCTTCACCAAAGAGACGGCAAGGACACGACGCAACTGCAACACCTGAGAACGTCCCAGTCGTGGTCTTAGGCGTCTGAGGAACGTTCCTCCAGCCTAAACCGATTGCTATTGCTTGCCCTAAAGCAGTCCATTTTTCTTTATTTTTGAACAAATGAACTTCAAATGCTGAATGCTTTCAAGAGAACTGAGCACTCCGGTGCAAACAAATGATTGCACATGATCACCAAATGATTATCTTGAACGGAACAAACAAATCAAATAAACATGGAAGGGCTGCATACAATAAGCGCAAGCTTTCAGTGAACTGGGCAACGCGCACACACTGCGGGTTTCGCACGCATGCGCACATGCGTGGGGCATACGTGCCTCAAGGCCAAGGCGAGCGACGGTCTAGTCCAGCAGCTCATCTTCCTGACACGCATGTCACATGCCTAATAATGCCAATTATGATCGAACGCCAAATGCTTTGGCAGTAGCCCTGCCCTGCATTACCAGCCGCCTAGATTTCTTTGACAATTGAAACCGGAGGCCAAGACCAAGGAAGCAAGAGGTTTTACAAGCTGTGTCACTAACTTCTGCAGGAGCCTCACTGCATGACAGTTCGCCTGCAAGTCTACACCACCCATGCTTGTTGTGACACATACAGAGCAGATCAAAGCAGGATTAAAGCAGATCAAAGCATACACCGCCGCTGTTTCCAACAGGATTGCCCATGTCCACGATGGTCTGAAGTCCTGAGCGCCACTCATTGGTGTGCCACTTCGTTCCTTTCTTCGCCTCCTGGGCCAATCACATAGCTGACAAGAGCGCCCAGTGCCGTACGGAGAGAGACCGGCACAGATACGCAGCCGAGTCGTGAATGTTTAAAGGAAGAGCAGGTCTACAGGTCAAAAGAAAGAAAGAACACCGACATGAAAGAATATACCGACATACATTTGTCGTGAACTTTTGGTGACTCTGTTTCAAGCGCTTGGAGAGGGCTCTCAGCTTGCGACGGATGGCTCTTCGCCCCTGGCGGTCGGCGAGTCTGAGCGCTTCCTGCGGCGACCTGGCGAGCACAGCTCGCTGAGTGACTTGCGACGCGAATTCACCGGTTTCAACTTCGCAACAAGGACGCTACGAACGGAGCAAAGGGCATCGCTAGTAACAAGGATGCTACTTAGGGGCTCCTGGCCTTACTACTAGGAGCAAAGGGCCTCGCGACTCGAATTAGGAGCAAAGAAGCTACTAGGGGCGCTCCTGGCATTACTGCTAGGAACAAGAAGCTACGAACGTAACAAGGATGCTATCAGGTGGAGGCCATCGCAAGTAGCTTGGAGGCCAGCGCTACGACCGGAACAAGAACGCTACTAGATCTAACTAGTATACGAAAGGGACTACCGGTGACACGGTGAGACACGACCCGGTGTCTCACAGGATGACATCGCATTGGACGCATCTCTTCCCAGAACCCTGTCGACCTCGTCTTCGCTCCAGAGACTACCAACGACCAAAGACTTGAAATCTACTAGTAAGGCACCTGTTACTACTAGCGTGGCACTTGTTACTACTATGAGCTTCCCGAACTTCCCCGCTTCTTCCGTCCAGTACTGCTCCACCGCTTTCCGAGAAGGTGGCTCCCACACAGCGCTGGACCGGAGGGAGGACATCGACAGCAAAACGACCGGAGCTCTGGATGCCGCGATCGACACACTTTCCGCCAGTCGGCCAGACTCCGCCGCGGCCACGAAACGGGTTCGTTTCACGGTGGGAAAGGGCGGAACTGCGTCCAGCTTGGCACAGCTTCCGAGCTCGTCCGAGACAGGTGCTTGATTCAAACATCTCGTGTTGCAAACTTTCCCGTGCGGCAGGCCACACAAAGCAAATCAGCAAATCTGCTAGTTTCCGACATGGGCAAAGGACATGCGTCCCAAATGGCTCCACTCCCTCCCCAAGAACTGACTGGTTGACTCAGGCAGGGCTCCTTTCTTAGCACCAAACACTGGCCGCACCGGTCGCACTTCCCGATGTTACGGCGATGTTGAGGTTTTGAGGATCCATTGGTGGAGGGAAGAGCAGAAAAGGACCGCCCCAACGCTTTTTATACTTCTTTAGACACTTTATTTTCATATTTGTTTTGTCCAGACTTTTGACTGATCTTCTCAACCCTCATCAACCATCGACTGGATCAGGCTCCGGATAGGCCTCCGCCACCAGCTCGTTGGGGACTCCATGGCCGGTATTGGTGATGGAGGACGAAAGGGCACGAAGCGAAGCGGAGAAGCCGCGGATGAGAGTTTACCAAACGCCAAAAGGAACTTTTGCCCATATGCTATTTTCTTCACCCAACTCTCAGTTCTTGGGTAATTGTGGCTAGTTTCTTTGAACTGTAGAAGTTTTGCACTTCAACGGTCACGTTTAGATGTCATTGGGTCAAAGGCTGGTTGATGAGTTGCCAAAATGCTTCGGAACCTCCCATCGACAAAATCTCTTTGGGCCCAGTGAATCACATGTCAGGACGCAAACTTTCAGAAAGTGGACACATGTGATGCCAAAGAATAACTAGGATCGTATTCCTCTTCAGCTTTTTGACTGTCCAAAGCTTGAGGAAAAACATCAGGGCGACCGAGAGAGAGAGAGAGAGCAACACCGCTAAACCGACCATCTCTGCAGCGCAAAAAGGATTTGCTTCTCCAACCGTCCGGTGCGCTTCTCAAATGGATGAAATGGACACCCCAAACCCCGCTGGGCAGGTGACAACAGGGGAAGACATGGTAAGCAGGATCTTCATCATCTCATCTTCCCAACTGTCTGTGTTTTTTCTGGGTTTCAGGGGTGTCTAATATTTTCTCTAAGCTCGTTTCGCAGAAAGCTAACGGTTCAACGAACATTCACACGACCTTTTCTCCAAACGCACCAAGCATTCGAAGGCTCAAATGGATCAGAGCACGGTCAATCTCTCTTTGATTGGAGTCTAAAAAACACACCCTGAAGACACCCACACCCGAGTGTAGTCTCCGAAAAGAGACAGTCCAATTGCAAGACTTCTGCAGGTCCTAAGTGTTCTGCACTTGTGCTCCGATGAGGTGCCATACCCTTTGACCCAGCTGAGCCATCCGGGCTAGACAACCCAAGGATCCGACCGCCGGAGCTTCGAAAAAGCAGTGCCCACAAGGCAAGCAACAAACACCTCAAAACTGAAACACAAAAAAACAACACAGCTGGTGATTTTGGCTCCCAAATTCTACATGTCTAATGGTCCAACTCCTAGCTCATCCTAGCTCTTTCTTTCTTTCAACAAGAACTGCATCGCTGGACATCTGGAAACATCATTTAGGTCAGCCTCCGGCCGGTGGTAACGACGGTTTCGGTCCAAACGCCGCCGCCCAACGGCGGGTTTCGTCCGGGTTTCCGCCATCCAAGCTCCACTGAGTCCCGTGGAGGCTGGGTGGCGCATCCGTGGCGACCGGCGACCACCGTGGACAGACGGAATCCTTGAGGGGTGAACCAATTTTTGGAGAGAGCGAGCTGGTGCGCCTCTCAGAATTCTGCTGCACTTGCAAGCACATGTTATTATTACTTCTCTCTCTCTCTATTATATATTAATATATAATAGAGGTCTGAAATATGGAGTTCTGCACTTAGTCGAATTCTTCCAAACGGATCTTGATTTCTAAAGGACAACGAGGTCTCATTCCCATGTCAGCAGCCATGCAGAAAGCTTCACCCGGACCTTCCAGCCTTGCTATGCTTAACAAGCTGGACCAAGGTCCAGGTTGAATGTGTCCCCCCCCAGTCGAGTCCAAGGGGGTTTCCTTCGGAGAACCGGAGGTCCTCCGAAGCGGGTATGTTGGTTCTTCGGCGGAAAAAAGGGGGACGGCAGGCTTGGTGCTGGTCGCCCGTCGGCCTTTCGTCCGGACCACGCCGATTCCGGGTTGGACCGGTCGCTTAGGCCGCCGCCACGTCGCCTGCGTTGCGTGAACGAACGAAAGAGGACGAACCTGGGAAGGAATTCGGGAAGTCTTTTCAAAAGGTGAAAGTCGCCCCCAGCGGGGATAAGTGGGGAAAAAATAAAGGGGAAAATACAAGTCGAGTTCAGAACAAAGCGGAATTAAAACAAAGAAAAGAAAAGACTAACATGAGAAGAACGTAGAAGGAAAAAAGGCAAGAAGCAATGCTTAAAGAGTTCCATTTGTAGCCGAGGCACGCATCTCATTCAACTCTCCAATTTCACTCTTCATCACCGAGATCTGGGCACGTTGTTTGAAGATCTCCGAGAGGCAGTAGGACACAACCACCGTGATGGCGCCAAAAGATAAGGTCCATTCGATCACAACCTGACCACGGTCGTGGATCGGAGTGCGGTGCGGACGGATCTGGTGAGACGCGTCGGGCAGCCGGTGGGTGGGGTCTTTGCGTCGCACCTGACGTTTTTCTTTTTTTCCCCTCCGTGAATGCTGGTAGTACTGTCAATAGTGGCAGTGAATCTCTCTACAGACTGGTTCACTGCCAAAACTGACTGGTTTGCTATCGCCCTCTGCTTCCGTGCAGACTGGTCAGAGGGCGATCCAAAAGATCCAACGGAGGGTGGGTTGACCCGGAACACACAGGTCGGTCCTCTCATCCCCGTTTTTCCAACCAATTCCCAACAAGCGTTTCTTGGGACCAAGAAAACCAGGACCAACCGGAAAGGGAGAGGAATTTGGGAGACACCTGGTCGGTCATTTCTTGGGGGAAAACAATGAAAACACCTCATTGTCGGGTTTTCTTTCTTGGTTTGCGGTGCTCCGACCTGTCATTTCTTGGGGGATACCGACCACCTTTTCAGTCACTTTTCCGCATGTCGTGACACGTACGTTTTCTGCGGAGTTGGTGCACCTCCCGGCTGCGATGTCACCGTCACCGTCAAGACTGGGACGGAGAGGAAGCTGGAGAGACTCACGCTTTTGAGTCGGTCCACAGAAGCTGGCTGGTCAGCTTTCTTCTTTTTGGCATCAGCCATGCTGAAGTGAAGGAGAGGATCATCAATCTACTCACACAATTATACCCCTTTGCTGCAGTAGCTCACTCTTACGATTTTTAAGTCACGTGGATTCTGTGCTCATGTTCAGCTCCCCACGATCCACTCAAGAAGTTAGGAGACGAACGGGGCTCCTGGCATCGCGACTCGAACGGTTCGCGTTCGGACGCTACGAGGTAGGGGCTCCTGGCCGTATGACTATAGTCTATAGTAGCATTCTTACTAGTAACAATTGTGCTTTCTTTATGGGTCTTCCCACCATGTCCCACCCAGAAGCAGCTCCGTTCACCAACCCGCCCGGTCCCCTCACCAATCACCGCGCCCACCGCCCACCGCGCTCCGCTTCGCTTCCGAGATGCCATCACCAGAGATCCAGGCTTTTCGAGCACACCGGGTGTGAAGGTCCAGTCATACGCGAGATGCCGAGCCGCCCCTGGGAATTGGGGGTAGCTGGGAGTTCGAAGGGATAAGGAGGAACTGGCAGGACAATGGGAGGATTTGGCGATGTTTGGTTTAAGGACGCTTGGATGGTCTATGACGGGTTTGGAGGCGGTTTGGAGGCGGTTTGGAGACATCTGAACACCAAAACGAAAGCATTCTGACGCATGGACCGAGGAAATCAAACTCTGGGCGTCAATGGACACGTGGCGCTCGATCTCCGCAACCGGAGGAACTCACCGTGGCGGCGCTCGGACCGCACCGCACCGCCCGCTGCGTGTCACCGACGCGCAGAGAACGAGACGCGAGATGCCTTGGCTGATGCAGAACTCGGTGAGGCTGAAGTAGTAGATGAAATAGCTGGTGAAGGTCCCCAGCAGGCCTTCTGATGGCCGTCGTCGTCCAGCGACCCGTTGTCGGGGGAACAGCGGGTCTTCTCTTTCTGGTGGGTGTCGAGTATCATAATATGATGTTCTTCTCTGGAGGAACTTTAGTCCGATTTCTGAAGCTTGTGTCAACTCTCGGACCAACAGAGAAGACCTGGAAGAGTTTCATAGAGCCAAGAAGCACTGCCAAGGTAGAATGAACTGGAAGAGAATGGCAACCTCAGTTCAGAGCTTATCTTCATCCGATCTTGCTGCAAGTTGGACGGTTAGCATTCCTCAGCTCGGAAGGCAAGTTAGGTTCCTGTGCCACATTGAGCTCTATACGTTGTTTCTATAAAGCCACATTAGAGCTCCAAACCTCTTTCCGAAGGCCTTTCGAGGCCTTTCTTCCAACACATCGAAGGGGCGAAGGATTCGCGTTCCAGGAAGGGAAGGGGTCATGGTTCCAATGGGTAGGGGTCATCTGGGAAGGGGTCAGCTCTTGGACATCTGGGTTCGATCAAGGGGTCCGCGTTCCTGGAACCCAGGCAGTGGTTGCCCATTCGGTTGGCCGAGGTACGCCCATGCCGACCATGGCAGTACCATAGTGCAGGAACAGCCAACGGTGCGGCAAGGTATCTGGAAAGACCTGCAGAACCGCTGCGACACCGAGCGCTTGAATGACGGAGCGCGTGAATGTCCTCGTTTCATGGGTAAATAACCTTGCCTTCTCCTCCTGAAACAATTTTGCAGGTCAAAACCCGCGATTCCACCAACCGAGCGGACAGAGTTTGGACGCAACCAAGAGACCACCAGCAACAAATAAGCACTGCTTAGTATCCTTGGCTTCCGACGATTCGATGCTTTGAATGGAGAAACAAAATGCAGGTGATTTGGCGGGGAGACTCCTTACATGCCCACGGAGAGGATATGGCTGTGTCATGCGACAATCCCGGTGCTGGAAACTACCTTTGCCAAGTATCTCAACCTTGAAGTCAAAGGTAGGTAGGTAGGTAGGGGAAACAGCGAATGTCGTGTGTGCTCTTTTTTGGCAAGTTGAGATTGGGAATATCAAGCGATTAAGCATCATCCCTGAACTGAATCCCATCCCTTACTTCGCGGGTACAGCCGTGAGCACCCAGCACCACGCCCCCACGATGGCGCTCTCACCCTGCCAAGACTCCCTGCGATCAAATCACAACGTCGCTGCCAAGCGAAGAGCAGTAGAAGGCCTTCGAGCGCAGGACATAAAGACAGTACCAACCAGCAATACCTCAGACAGTGAGCCGCACGAGAATGCGGTGCTTTCGGGATCAAGGAACTGCGAAGCGACAGACAGGAGTACAAGGGTTTTACGTCCAAACTCGTGGAACAAGAGAACAGTCGGTTTGCTTGACCTCGGCATTCGTACCCTTTGTGCCCCCGTTACCCATACCGCTATCTCGTCTTTCATGCTCATACATGAGCCGGCTAGAATCGAAGAAACGGAAGATGGATTCACGTGGCCACTCCAGAATATCTGGATTCACGCATACTCTCGAAGACACACGAAGGATGCAGTAAGTCTGGTCTGATCCTTCAGATGGTCAAAGGCCTTTGGAAGAGAAAGGTCAACTCCAGCTCCAAATCCCACGTTTCAATAGGAATAAACGGACATCAAGCTGTTGCACACCTCTGGACCCACCATTCCCTACCAAAAATCCACGGATTCGCACCGGCCCAAGAGACGTCTGGCCGATCACACGTGCGCTCATGTCTGGATCAGGATACAAGGCATTAAAACCTGCCGGCGCGGAGAACAAGCTTCGCGACGAACGGAACAAAGGACATCGCGACGAACGGAGCGATCGGACGGCTACAAACGGGGGATTAGAATTGAATTCGAATGACAATCAAGTTCTGTGTCAAGTTCGGACTCACGGCTTCCGTGCCGAACCGGTCGAACGTGTTATCCCACGGGTGGTCTAGTGAAAGGGTTCGACTCTCCCAGCTATTTCCGCCAAGGAACTTTCGGAAATCCAGCAGATGTAGGGCAAGGTGCCACCACAAATGCACTTCGAGGCCACGAAAGGATACTGCCGGCCACACTGGACCAAGCCATCTCCCTCCCACAAGCGGAAGAAGAGAACCTTGGACCACTGGAGACCGGAAAGGGATTCAAAAGAAGATTGGAAGAACAGCAACATGGGTGGAGCAATGGCTGGAACAGAGGGAATTCGAACATGGACAAGAGGGAATTTGAAGAACATGGAGCCATGAAATGGTTACTGAATTTAGTACCCGTTTCGGATTAGAAAGACAACCACCGTGATGCACATGTTGCACCCAACCCCCCGGGCATAACTAGCATCGCGTGGGCTGCTTTTCTGGAACTGCGCTTGGTCTACTTTGCTGCGTTTTTTCGCCCAATGGATGCGGGATGGCCGTCGGTAGGACGGTGTCGGTGGGGTGGGAAATGGAAGTCACCCTGGATCAACTGTCTTCGATTTAGTGAATGATTTGGGACACCAAAACGACAAAGGGATGCTTCCAACCTCTTCCCGCGCCGGGACGCCACGAGCAGGATCAAGGCAAAGGCGATGTGACTCCTGAGCGTCGGTCGAGGACATCGGTTTTCTGGTGTGGAGGTGTGTCACACAAGGATTCATGATACCCTTGGTGGTTTGTTTGGGAGCTACGCTCATGTGTATGACAGGAGGTTGGAACGACCGTGCAAGAAGCGTGCCAAAGCAGCCAAGAATCAAGACCAACAAGCGGAGTGCCAGCAGCCGCAGCTCGTTCCGTGGCATTCCGAACGCCATGCTGAAACCGCCACCAGTGCGGTTTCAAAAGCTGTTGGCTCGATTTGCACGAATCCAACGTCTTCAGTTCTTCAATTTAAGGCGCGTGACATTCGCCAATCTATTTTGTCCTCTGTGGCTATAGTCATCCAAATCAGCAGCAAATGGAACACATTCCGACATATCGCTATTCTCATGTCGTTTTCGACTGTCTCAAATTCTATCTTTGCTTTGGACATGGAAACAAACGATTAGCTGGGCATGGCGAAGAAAAACCCCGTGTGCAAAGATCTGAAGATCACCCATAACCCCTTGGCAATGCAAAAGATGGATGCCCTTGGTCAACATATGTCAACATGGTCTCCTTTTACCCTGAGAGCAAACTGCGGAAAGCATCCTAACAGTGGAAAGCATTGCAAGGCGCTGGCCCGAAATCAAACCGTTTGACCCTTTGAACGTTGCAATCTCCAGAATGACTCCCACCATCTCCAACCCGACACAGGTTGTGCCATCCAGACCGGCAAGATGATCCAATCAAGATCCAATCAAGCGAATCCACTCCCCCCGGCCGCTGGGCCGCTGGGCCGCCAAGCGGAAGCGCGTTCTTTTTGGATTCGCACTTCACCCGACCAAGTCCCACAGGCCGGCTCGCTCAATTTCGGTGGCCACTTGAGCGACTGATCTGGGTGAGTCCATCTTCTTGTCTTCGATTTATCGCCATCTGCTGGTGAAAAGACAAATTTGTTCTGGGCTTTGCCCAGACCTGGTGGTTCCGGTGGAAAGAGAGAAATTCGTATTGGAATGATCAGCAAATGGGTTTCGTAAGCGAATGCCAGCTCACAAAATATCTCATAGCCAACGCCCGTTTTGGCGCCATATTCTTCAGTACAGAAGCATAGCAGCACTTTGGCCCGGAACAACCCCTCTACAGTTTGCTTGGAAAACTTCTCGGCACTGCGTCAACCATGAAGGTCCTGATCAGAACTGGTTTCAGGTTCTCAAACAAGCCCTTTAATTAAAAAGGTTGGAGGCATCCGCGGAAACATCAACCACTGTCCACTACACAAGAACTTGCCTTCGACTGTGGAATGACAGAGGACCTTGACCTTTCCTCCAAACCCCGCATTGCCGCTGCACGGTGCTGATGACTAATCGACATGCTTGGGTAACTGGTCTGTGAGCGCATGAACAACCACAAGATCAAATGGAATCCGGATGGAACTCCTCCTTGCAGCGCAAGAGGTAGTCGAACAATGCATGGTCGGGTCGCACAATGGGTGAGGTTGATTTGGCGCAAAGCATGTATATAACCAGAACAGAGATGGTCCAATCTAGCGAGAGCGCCATTCATGCCAGGTTTGAAAGAGGCAAGCAATCATTGAAGCGAGTCGGCGAGGGTAGGAGGACGGATACTGTAATTGTTGCAGCAGCTGTTTTTCCTCATGCAGTCTAAGCAGTCTAAGCTCCAAGATGTGCCAAATCTAACATCCCTCATCATCTCTAAGCTCAAGAAATCGCATGAGAAAAGAAAACTCACCAATTCAAACTCGTGACCAATCCACCTCAGAATCAACAAAACATTCACAGATGCCAATGATGGAGAAAGGGGAGTCATCCAGTGAGAAAAGCAAACCAAATGAATTCCATGAAACATGGTGTGGTTCAAAGAACTATGCAACACCTCATCCAAATCGCCCGCGAAGGAGAACCTCTTTTTCTTCTTCTCTCCTCCCAACGCCCTCTCTCTCTTTTCCAGAAACCCATCACCCGACTTGGCACTGCCAAGGCACGGGACACAGAACCGGTGCCATCCGCGTCTCCTGGCCACGCCTTTTGGCCCAATCCCAGGGCGTTTCGCCTCGGCCGCGCTGTGAATCGGCGCAAGGCGACCCGTCGCCCTCGAATCAGCCGAGAGACCTCGACCCGCTCCGCTCCGTTCTCCGTTCTCCGGGCGCCCCGGGCCGTATTCGTCCTGGGCGTCGGCGCGGGCGCCGGCGGCGAGCAGCCGCTGGGCCGTCTCGGGGTGGCCGCCAATGGCCGCGTAGTAGAGAGGCGTGTGACCTCAAGAAGAGCGAAGGACGAGCGGAGAAACACTCGTCCCTTGGATGGGAGGGTAGGCGCAAGGACGCTACGAACGGGGCTCCTGGCATCGCTTTTCTTTTGGAGCATTCGATCTTACTACTTATAGTAATAGTATCATCGGATATCTGGACCTTCGTCCTTTCGCCCTGAGGCCGTTCGGTGCCCCGGCCATTGTTGTCCCTCGCGTCGACGGCGGCGCCCGCCGCCAGGAGCCGGTCCACCGTGGCGGTGTGGCCGTACCTCGCCGCCCAATGCAGCGGCGTACGGCCTCGGAGTCGTGGGGGCGCTGAACCAAAGACGTGGAAAAAACGTGGAAAGAAGTTGGTTTAAGTCACCGTGATGTTGACAACCCCTCTCAATTCATGAAGAATGGGTCACTTTGGACATTTGGAACTCTGTTTTGCTTTGGAGGGATCATCTCTATCACCTTCTATTACGCCATTGTGGGGCACCATCTGCACAACTCTTGACGGCGAACACTCGAACCCAGCAAATCGGAAGTTTCTCCATTGCAAAGGCTATTGCCTGCAGTGGCCTCTGTTCGAGTTTATCATGCACCAAACATCAAAGACTATATGGGTGATTGTACCGCGCTGATGAAAGGGGATGAACTAAGATGGTCTAAGTGGACCAAAAGTTGCCTCCTCTCCTCTCTTGGTTTCTTTCTTGCACAGCGCCCTTTGCTCCAGTTCACCATGCACCAAACATTCTTGGAAGCCCGACAAGCCGACTTTCTGCGAACGTGGATAGGGTGATTGTACCGCACTGATGGCAGCTCCAAGAGCATCATAAGAGTCTTTTTGTTTACATACAGAACCACAACTCTACACATCTTTCAGAGTGGACCTTTCGACTGTCTTACGAGTGTGTTGCAAATCGTTCCGTCCTTGAGCCCCCAGGGTCCCCGGCGGAACCTATCCAGTGCCTCAACAGCGGCCTTCGCCGCCAGGAGTCGGTCCACCACCTCGCAGTCGCCCTTCTCCGCCGCCAAGTGCAGTGGAGCTCTGCCTCAGATTCTGAGGGAGACGGCGCTGGCAGGGACGACAGATGCTGTTGTTGCTCTTCAGTGGGGTGACCCATGCAAGGATGGAGCATTTCACAAACTGTTTTGACATGCGATCCTTCGCGCGGAGAGATCGACGCCCAGCCTTCCTTGTCCGTGGCTTCAATCTCAGCTCCTGAAGTCACTAGGCTCAACCTCCTCCCTCTCCCCGTTGGCTACGAGTTCAATATTTAAACAAACGCACGACCTGAAGATGCTGAAGCTGCAATTCTGATCTCCAAATCCATTCCACATCCCAACTTGAGCGACTTGGACCAGCCAGCTGGATGAAGGTTGTCAGACCAACTAGTTCCCTAAGCCTATGCCTATCGACCGTGGCCTCACAAATCAGGACTTATGCTTGATTGCATTTGATTGCCCTCTCATCAACACGTGGACACATGGCCTTTCAGATCGGATGATCGTGTATGGACCGTGGCTTTACACATCAAGAGCTCTATTTACCGTATCCTGGCAAGGCACAGATTCTTGCTAACGAAGTTTTGCCTTCACGCTTTGCTAACGAAGTGCTCCATACTCACCGTCGATAATGCAATTATCGGACGCTTCCCCTGCCTTGCCTGCACTAGCACTCATTGATCCTGAAAGGACGTTCCAGTGATTTCCCGTGAACTAGGCTTAGAAACGAACAAACCAAACCAGCAAAAACAAAGCAACAAATGGGCCTCCAGGTTGCTCTCTATTCAGAAATGTGTATCAGACCCCTGTTTTGGAACTGAGGTGCTCCAAGCTGACTGTCAATCACAGGAAGATAAGGGTTCTGTTGGATGTTTACAAATTTGACAAACTGGGAAGGTTCTTCAACGTCTCCACCACAAGAAACTACATTGCAAGACTCTGCCCAACAGCTGCTCCTCCAAGCTGTACGGCTGTACGGATCACCAAGGAGCCATGGCTAGCTCTGCAAATGTCTTCAAACCTCTGTCCTCTTGGGGCCCAAAAAACAGTGGAATGCATCGTGTTATGTCTTGCACATGTGGAAAGCCTGCCCAAAGGGCCTCACAACAAACAATTTCCGGTTGAGACCACATCTCGAAGAATTGAAACTTGTGAGTCATAAAACTGCCGCTGTCCATCAGCCATCAAAAGTTAGTTGGACTCAACTATTATTACAGTTATTACAGTTGAATTTACAGTAATTAGTTGGAATACTGGCCAGGCAATATTGGAGATGAGATGGCGCATGATCTGCCCCGTGAAAAATAGACCGACTTCCCTGGATCACAAGTTTCTTTTCTGCTGTCACAGCCGCTGCTGGTAA